CCCTCCCCTGAGCAGTTTCTTCACTTGAGCATCAGTTGAAGAGTAGCACTAAACTTGAGCGTTTTGAACTTAAAACGCGTTTTGTTTACAGCTTGCAGGGAAAAAGAAACATGTTAGACCATTGCTCATTGAACGAGTCCAGCTACAACACGAGGTTTGCTCAAATAACCAGTTTGTTTATCATATTGTTGTTGTTGCTGTTACTATTATTTTTGATGATGTTGTTGTTGTTCTGTCCATATGGCAGACCTACAGTTATCGTCTTCTTTTCCAAATAGTTTAAACCACGGAACGTAAGGAGTGGTCATTCATTGGCATAGTGTAATACGCACACGGAGTGAGGTTCATAAGCGCGCTAATGGAAACCCGCCTGGTGCCTTCTCATCAGCATTTACACTTATTCAATTTTACTTTATTTCATTTCAACTTTTTTATTTTTTTTTCTATCCCTCGAAAGATGCGCATTTTAGATCGGATTTCAACGCAGTTAACAACACTACATAAAGTGTTATTGGACGATTTGTTTAAACTTGCAACAACAGTTTACACAGAGGTAAGCCTTTGTAGTTTTTTTATAATCATTTCATTATTATGTATTATATTTAATTAATGCATTTTTTTTCTATAACTCGTAGTTATGTGATATGCTTATGAAATTACTACCTTAGAGTGATTTTAGAGAGCTAATAAAACTCTTGAAAAATCACTCTATTATGACACTGTGGTCTCTGCCTAAAATGTGTAAGTATTCATTTACAATACAGTAAAAACCCGCGTGTAAGAACCTAGCTCTATTCATGTCTTGCAAAATAGGTTCTTATGTTTTGGGGTATTTACTAACAACTTAGGCAAAACAGGTTCTTAATAGGTTCTTAGCCTCAATATTTCAGACGTGAGGATATGCCAGACTTAATTTTCTATACTATACTGTACAATACACTGTGTACTGAACAATGTACTTAATTATACAGTTTAGAAGCTTATACCCAGGAGTAAATTTTTTTAAACTTGCTTTAATACATTACTGGGAGCCATAAATACAGTGGGGAAACTGTATTGTGACATGTTTTATGGAAGTATCAAATGTATAGAAAACATTTATTTTATAGTTACAGACATATTCTGCTACAACATTGTTTCGTTATCCAGAATGACACTTCATATAAGAACCATGCAGGTTTTGCTGGGTAAACAGGTTGTTATATTTTTGGGTATTAAAATCCAAAATTTCTGCCAAAAATGTTCTTAATTACTAGGTTCTTACACGCGGGTTTTTACTGTACTCCAATGACATTTGTAACCTACAACAGAACAAACTAACTAATCATTTCCTCCAGGAAAATAAAATTACTTTTTTCCTCTCCTTTTTTTCTTACTTCCCTCCCCCCTTTTGTAAAAGTCTTTTATTTCGCTCCACATTAATTACTCATAATCGTTGTGCATTTCTAAAGAAATATTTTGAAAGTCTCACAGATTTAACATATGATTCCTTTCTCACGAGTAATACTTGGAAATCAATACTCTGATCGTTTCCATTGACTTGACGCTCGTGAACTAGTATAACAAATTTTACCTGCGGACCACCAACAATGAGAGGCAAAAGTCTTGGCACGTACTATCACTTTTTGAATTTTTTTCTTGAACTCTCATTTATCTCCCTCCCTTCTCCCATTTCAATGTTGCCTGGTGCTGTTGTTGGTTTTTAACATGTTCACCGCTATGCAACGTTGTTTGCGGGGGGGGGGGCGTATTAGAAATGAAGTACAAGATTTCTTCGGTTTATTATGTTGATTGAGTGCAGGGTGGTCAACTACCTACAAAGGAAAGACGTGCCAACTACTTTTCTCGCTCATTGTAGATTTTTTGGAAGCAGTGCGTCATCTGTTCCGTTCATGACGACCTTATTGTTACATTATATTTTTCAGGTTCGTATTAAAGCTCAAAAAGCTTTGTCTGCATGCATCGATATGTTTGATTACTTTGCCCGCACTTTGGTTCCACCAACACTATCCAAGCTTCAGAACAATCCAGATGTTTCTCATGAAGAATTTAAGGTTGGTGGTCATTTGAAATTTAATAATTAACTTTTTCAGCTTTTTACGTTCTTTAACAAGAGAGTTTTGAAAGTTAATGTCTATTCCTTTGTCAATTGTTAATTTGATCATTATATGGCTATAAGATTGGGTGGTGACATTGTGTAAATTTGTGTGACTCCCCCAATGCCACCTGAGGCCCCTGAAAAACACTCGTTTCCTTTATGCAGGGTTACCGCACTGGCCACTTCGCTCCGACGAAGGGCTAACGCTCGAAACGTCAGCTTTTGTAATCGTTACGGTAGCCAATTTACCATTTCAACTTTGTTGATATATCCAAATTATTTGGCCACTGTAAGACCTTTTACTGCAGTTTGTTTATCCTGCAAGCAGGCTCTCCTGTTAGGATTTCGCCATGCAACCCCCTTGCCCGAGAAAGGGGCCTTAGCGTAGCCGCCTCTAATACTATCGGCAGCCGCCTAGGGAAAAAGTTGACGAAACCTCCACTTATATCGTGAATGCGTCTGATGTATCTTGTTACCGTTTTGTTTAAGGGTGCGCTCTATGTGTTGCTGAATAACCGCATGATGTTCCTGATAGTGCACTACTGGGAGGTTATGGTGGACGTCTGGCCTGTTATTGTTCAGGTAGTTACACCCCTTCAAATCATTTCTTGCTCATCGCTTTTTTCTCTTTTTGTATCGTTTTATTTATTTATTTATTTATTTGTTTTCCTTGTTCTTGTAACCAGTTCTAGGCGTTTAGTGAGTAAAACGAAGCGTGATAGCGGATGGCGCGATAGCGGAGGATTAAAAAAATGAGTAATGAAGCGTTGTGTAGCTCGTTTTCGCGCTGCCGTTTCTTTCGGGCCGTTTTACTATTTCTCTCAATCTTACCAACTGAACGCCTGGAACATTGTTTGTTTGTTTGTTTGTTTTGTTTGTTTATTATTATTTTATAGAACATTACAAGCAAATTTACACAATCCGCATATAGCATTAGCTAGTCTTGGCGGGTATTAGTAATAGATAAGTAAATACTACACATTGCAAGCTAAAGAAGTTTCATTACCACAATAAACTAAAGAGATTTCATTACTACAATATTATTGGGGTTCTAAGCCATGCATTAGTTTACTAAATTATAAGCTAAAAGATACGTACAGTTGTCATACAAATTAAATACAATAAAATTACTAGTGAGTTAAAACAAGACATATCAATCAAAATACAGGCAAAGCAGATTGGAAGGTAGAGAGGAGAGAATTGTGATATACGGATGTTCGCTCACATAATCATTGGTTTTGAATTTCAATATTAGTGAATTCTGTTGTTGTTGTTGTTGTTGTTGTTGTTGTCATTGTTAATGTTGTTGTTGTTTGTGTTGATTTTCTTGCCAGTGCCAGAAGATGATAATGATAACCTTGCAAATGGGACTTTTTCAAATCACTGACTCACGGGGGACTTGTTTAGTTTAGACTTGGAAGTAGAGGGTATTCCTTCGGAACGTTTCAATATTCACACTCGAAAGTTTCAATAAACGCCGGTTATAGGCGAACTACCGCCGCCTATAACACATCTTATCGCCGTGTGTTGAGCCTGCGAGAAGGCTCCCGTGTTTGGGTTTCACCCTCCGGCCTCTTTTCCGGGCGTCAACCGCTTATGGAGAAAGGTTATTAAAATCCCACCTAAAAGTTATTATTTCTTCTTAAACTGACATGGTGAATACAGATTTCAAGCAGATAGGCTTTGAAAGTAATAACGTATTCTCAAAGATTCACTTTCTCCACATTTGCGCACGTTGTGAAGATTTTTTGTTACTAAAGGGAACTTTACTTGTTGATTCATGAACTTTCTTCAAAGGCTGACCATTCTGAGAAACCTTCAATTATAACTTTGATTACAATGCTGGCTGAGAAAATGGTGAAGAAATACGACACAGTGGCTATCAGTAGAACGGTAGGAGACAATTCATAATATTTTTAATTATAACTTAATTATTTTTAATTGTTTTTAATTATAACTTTGATTACAATGCTGGCTGAGAAAATGGTGAAGAAATATGACACAGTGGCTATCAGTAGAACGGTAGGGGACAATTCATAATATTTTTCCCTTCTTTAGGTTGTTAGTTTCTTTTTTTAATCTCATCTTTTAATGTTTTTATTTTGTGTCTTCAGGGTTCTCAATAGAATTTTTGAACAGCTTTGGATGTGCTACTCTCACGCGTAACACTTAAAATACGTGGCCAAAGACCGTGTATCTTGGGCTCTTAGGGCCCAAACTGGTATGGGCCTTTCACCTATCTGCGAGAGGCCTGGGCTAGAATTACAAATTTAATGTGACGCCACATTTCAACGTTGCAGAGACGTTGCGGAGCATAACGATTATTCGGTCATTCTAGACCATTCCGTGGTCTGCTGACAGGCTATTCGTTTCTAAAACTAAAACCGACTAACAGTCAATACTAAACTCGGTTACCTCCTCAAAAGTCGTTCTTTTATTTTCGATTAATAGATCAATTGATCTACTAACCGAAGCGCTTTGAGAGCCGTAACAAATACCGTGACACCTGTGACACTTGTTACGGGTAACGGGTTCTACCGAGAACCCTGCTCTTTGAAGCACAACCCTACCCGCCTTTTTATTTTTCACTTCAATAAATTGCCAACCGCCCATTCATCGATTTCATAGAAATTAGGCGTGATTTTAAGAGGCTACATAACGATTTATTCATTCAGACGAATACAGCGCAAATTCAACGCGTTTGCCAGTTTTAACCCTTCACCCCGAGAGATGACCAAAAAGAAATTTTCCCTAGCCATATTCATATAGTTACAAGATAAAAGGAAAGCATATTTGAGTTGACACCAAATTGTCCAAGCTAAAATTATAAGCAACGTATGGAAATCATTGCGGAGAATTGATATTTTGATCGTGGGAGTTATAGGGTTAATTTCTGTCGTTCTTTGGTATCCTAAACCGTCCTAGTGGCTTACTTTTACCGCTTTTGCAACTCTAGGAAGCGATTATTTCTAGGTGTCATTGAGCTGGTATTTAGAATAAACTGTGACTCTTTAAAATGGCCTAAAGTATCACCAAAGCAAAATATTTGAACTACAAAACATTCGCCATAGAATTAGGCTGTTGAATCGTTTTCGAAAACGTTAATTCTGCCTGAAACGAGATCGGCCATTAGAACGCTAGAATGGTTTACGTCGTAATTTGGTGATATGTGTTTTCGCCCCAGTTTTGTATATACCTACGGTACATGAAGTTGTGGTTAATGATCTCTGATTCACCTCCAGGTGACTGATGCTGCAGTTGAGCAAGCTAAGCGACTCTTAACCTCCTCTAAACCGACACCTCAAAGTCATCTGAAGGCTCTCCCGGCTCCCGCAGAGACAGCTCTGCCAACCGAAATAGAACTAAAAGAGAGCGAAGAGGCTTGGAATATAACGCGAGGGAACAATCTAAGGTAGCTGAAGACACTTCACCAGAGTCACTTGAAACAACCATGACCTTTGCGATTACAAGAAACAGCAGTAAATTCCCTTTAATAGAGAGATTTAGCACCGCGTTGACGTGAAACGGCAAACGTCAGCTTGTTCTTTTACGTTTCACGTAAAATAGCGTGAACCTCGATGCTTTATCTTCGCAGGAGGTCACGTCATGGGATTTGAAGGCGCCCTTGTATGACTTACAAGGATTAGTTTTGGTGCCTTTTTCCGGCAATTAACTTCTACTCTCAGAGAAAAAGTGAAAAAAATCTTGCGTACCAGTCAAACGCGAAGCATATAACATTCACGTAGAGACGGTAAAGCGCAACCGGCAAACGTGAAAAAATTGCGGGAAAAACAAGGTCACTTTGTCATTCTTGCCGCTCATGTTTCACGTCAACGCTGTGCGAAATCTCTCTATTTCCTTTGTCGTCGTTGTTTCCTTTGGTCCTTAGCAGTGAATGGCACAACTGTATTTAGGCGGAATCTTGTTTGGTCCTTACGATTTTGTCAACATTAATTTCTATGGATTCCTCATTAATAGATCCTTATCTCTTTTCAGGAATTATCAGAAACTCGTCGGTATACTTGTTGATATGTTGGAGAGCGAGAATTTGTAAGTTATTTTCCACTTTCTGCATTTATAGTTAATGTAAGGTATTTTTCGTTGTGACAATTGTTTTGAATTCTCAAAATATTTTCTCGACCATAACTTTGAACTAAAGTTTTCCGGTTAAATTCTTTGGACACGCCACGTTTTAGGGTCACACGGAAACTTTTGAGAAGAGTCTGTCGGCAGGACTTCCAATCTCTTCACTCTTTACTTACTAATGAATATATTTAGGAGTTTATTTCTCGCTTATGGTAAACGTTCCTACCAGCGCTGGACTGAGGATCGAACAGTCCAGGTTGGAGCCTTGGCCGGATCAACTGTTAAATGTTCTGGAAAAGACGCTTTAATCTCCCACGGCCTCTCCCTCTCCACCCTGGGTTACAATTGAGGACCGGCAAAATCACAGTTAAAATCCCTTTGGGCTCTAGGCTTTGTGTGCGTTTGGGAAGGAGGTGTGTGTGTGTGTGTGGGCTTTAGCTTACAGTGGACTGGCATCTATCAGGAGAATAGTAGTAACGCTCCTACTCGTTTCATGAAGATTAAATTGGGATAAGCTCGGGCGAAACGACCGTTCTGTATCGTAGGCTAGATTTACCTCCCAAGCACCTTACACCTGTACATTTATTGCCGTTTGACCTTCCATTTGATGGCTGCGTCGCAACCTTTTTCCTTACATAAATTTCTGTTTCCTCCTATAAGATTATATTTCATTATTCTGCACTGATATGATCAATACTTTAAATCCTCTTCTGTTTTCAGACGCTGGCGGTATCTTCAGATTTGTTTCAGTTTCCTCTTAATGTTAATCCGTTATGATGTTCCTCTGCCAGAAAACGCAGTGAAGCTCTGTGTGAAATTCCTGAATCATGATGCATTAGTAATTAGAAAGGTAAAGAATATGTTGAGCGAGCAGTTCCTGTCATCCAATTTCAAATGGCCGACTAGTGCAAAGTCTGGAATCGAAACCTTTCTCCAAGATAAAGATAAAATCTAATTCGTCTTGTAGGATCCAAACTTCAAACAAATTTCGCGTTCGGGTAGTTAACCGAGTTACACAAAACCTTGTTACAACTTTGAAGAAGATAAATTTCATTTGACCTACACATGAAAATCAAGTAAAGCAGTGACCTACGTCGATGAGCCGTAATTTTAGCCTGAAAAAATTAAGGCGTCCACGGGATTCGAACCCGTACCTTCCAGATACCAATTGGGCGCTACTAAAAATCTTATTGGTTAGCCAAGCCATTTACTAAGTTCCTATGAGATACGCGTTCTATACTCAGCTGGAATCATTCATGCGCAAAGCTCACTTGCTTTTTAAGAGCCTCTCTGTCAATAGTAAGTCAGAACAACCATAAAGCTTTCACTGTACCATTTTTCTTGTTCGTGCCTCATTTGTTGTCATCGTTTTTTGTTAGCTCGCAATAAATGCCGTTGGAGCAGTCCTTAAACAGCGGAAAAGACCCCACGCTAAAATAGTGGTCAATCCCTACACTGTTGGTGAGCATAGCTCAGTATGTTTTATGAGCTTAGTTATACTAAGGACCATGTTTTTTGTGCGTTTGAATAAGGATGTCTCAACAAAGAGAGGTTCCTCTGAATTCTGCACGGCGTGTTGTGGTTCATTTTGATATTTCGCTTTGTTTTGTATCTGATGAGTTGTTGTACCGTTTAGGAAGCGAAGCAAATTGAAGCTGAAACAAGGTTTAGTAAACATAGAATAGACTTTTGATAACCTCATCTCTCTTTCCTAGAGGTGATTTATGTATACGAGAGACAGAAGAATTTCGTTTAGTGAAACCGTCCTAATATGAATTTTTTTCTCCTTTCAGCTGGCTTACCCGAGCCAACGACAACAGTTGTTCAGCCAGGCGATCGGGATGATAACAAATGGTATAAATAACTCATACACTATTCGTGTTAAAGTTTAAAGTATTTCAAATTGACATAGACTTCAGAATGAAAACAAGGAAACCACTCGAGGCGTGGGATACATCTGTGTCTAAATCGCGATTGGTTTTTAGTTTTGCATTTGATTGGTTGAGTTGTTGGTGCCCAGTTCCTTTTACCAGTTACGGAACGTAGAAGAAGAAAAACAGCAAACAAACAAAGTAGTCCTGGAGTATCTACGACATCATATAGATTGTTCCATGATGGTTGATGAATTGTTCGACGGTTTAAAATCATCTCAGGACTGAACTGTGCAGGCTCAGGGACGAAATATTGTTCGTAAAATGAATCATTTGTTTTTGTCCTTGCCATCATCATCATCATTTTCATTCTACTCTTTATTATTACTTTTATGACTATTATAATTGATATTATTGTTGTTATTATTAATGATTTTTTTAACATGTTATTGTTTTTATTCAGGCTGCAGTACTCGTCCGATGTTGTCCCAAAAACAAAGAGTGAATGGGAGAACTTTGTTTTCATCGACAAAACTCACTGGGGTTACTATACATGGCCAAAGTAAGCGTTGCTAACTGATACGATAACCGTAATTTAACTTTCTATGCCTTTGTTTTTCGATACAGGTCAGCTGATTATTCCAGCAGTTTTCTCCATTCTCCCATTAAGCGCGCTGTAATTAACAAATAAGTTCCTTATTGTCGGGCGTCTGTCCTCACTGGAAAAGATCCCAGATTACGTCAAAATGTGGTCAGGACAGAAGAACGGCTCACGAGCAGCTGAGTGTGTCGCTGATGTTCTCACAGAACAGACGCACAGTAACGTGGGACATATTAAGGAAACCTAAGCTATAATCCCGAAAAGTATTTACAGAACTTATGATAAAATGCGTAAAAATCGAAAACAAAAATGCGTCAAAATGTCTAGTAAAAATCCAAGGAAAGCTCATGGATACACAATTCGTTTAATAACAATTCAAGATTATTTACAAAAAAAGTATAACTGATAAAATTAGTGTACGAAAAGTCCATAAAAATTCAAACATCATGTATAAGATAAAAGGCATTCAGCTTAAAAATTGCCCCCCCCCC